TGGGAGGTGGAACACACACACACACACACACACACACGCACGCACGCACACGCACAGTACACGCGTTAAGCTCTGCATTCCCTCTGGAAGGGCTGGTCCTGCAACCACGGAGCCAGATCCTACTGCAGGCAGGATGGAGGCAGGGGAAAGGCTGTGTGTTTTGTGAGGGACCTCCGTAAGTCTTTGGTGCTAATAAAGGCTGACTGAGGCAGCAAGTCCTGAAGCTTCAGATCCAGAAAGCAATGCAGGGGACCGGAGAGTAATGTTTTTGCTCATCCTCATAGATGTGGTTTGTATCTCCCCAAGGTTAGGGGCCAACCTGATCTAAGACCCAGTAAGTATTTGATTTGATGTTAGTACTTTCTTCATTCCCATAAATCATGGGAGCTTAATCCCTCCCTCTTCAACTAATAATTTAAATATGTAGAAATAGTTTATTAACACACATGGAAGTATCTCCAAACCCTCCCCTCTTTGCCTACAGACCCTTCTGAGAATCTGACTGGAGGTTTAACCTTCCACAGTAAGTGCCTTCTGCCAAGAATTCCTAAGGTGCTGGTGCAGGAGAGGACTGCGGTGACTGGGAGGAAGTCGGATGGCTAGGGGACATGTACATATAAAACAACAGAGAGGTCTGCGTGTCTCGGAAGTGGCTGGGCTGGGCAGAATGCCAAACCCCAAATGACAGATTGAGCAATTTCTAAACCAAACAGAGAGAGGTAGGAAAAGGGGAAGTGGTGAAAGAGTTGGAGAAAGAGGAAAAGGGGGGAGAGAGAGGGCGGAGGAGAGCGGCAGCCATATAGGTGATTTGTATTCATTTCCACATCTGAGAGCTGAGAGTCTGACTTGCTGCCTGTCCATTTCCGCCGCTCATCGACGGTCCATAGCTCAGCATGCCATTGGCTCCACATAAGTTCATCCCAGCCATCTGCTGGGTCATCTGAAAGGGAGAGAGGAGACTTTCAGACCAGGATGTGGGCATGCAGCCAATGAGTGCAAAAGGCAGGGCAGGAGTCCTTCCGTCAGTGGGGATGGGAGAATGAGACAAAGGAGAACTCTGTTATGGTACTTAACTGCTCTGAACCTCAATAGAGCATTTCAAGGACACCAGACCACGTAAATGAAGGACTTTTCAGAAAAGAGATATTGACAGAGACTAATCATACTCAGGGAGGGAAGAAGGAATCCTGGAGCGAGACAACAAAAAAGCAGCATGAGAAGTTATTGTTTTTTCCTTCCAGGCCCTCATCCTAAAGAGAAGGGGCCGACTGTTCATTTGCCGCCAACAACCCCGAGAGTACGGAGAAACCCCCTCGCCAGCGCCCGGCCTGACCTCCAGCAGAGTTATTACTGCCAGTGGAAGTGCTTGCACACGCTCCAGCAGAGAGAGAAAGGAACTGGAGTGTTCAGATGAACAAAGGAAGGCACACAAAAAATCCCACCGTGTCTTCGGTGCCTGAGAAGGGAAGTTGTCGGGAGAAAAGAGGCAGTGGGGTCAGGGCCTCTTTTTGAATTAGACTGAAAGACCAGCCTCTGGCAGAGAACGGAAGAAACAATCTATGAAAGCAAAATACCTTACATTTCCTAAGCCCAGGGCATTTTCTCTAGAAGCTCTTTTTCTTTAGGAGTCTATTTTTCTACCACCAACTTTTAAAGAAAATTTCAAGCTTACAGAAAAGCTGAAAGAAATAGTACAATGAAGCCCATCTATTCCTTTCTCTTTTTTTTCTCTATTCCTTTCTTAAATTCACCAATTATTAGCATTTTGCCATCTTTTCTGATACATCTGTATAAACTTGAAAAATTTTGATGGGCACTAAAAACTACAGATATTGTGACATTTCACCCATTACGTCAGGATGCATTTCATAATAAATAACACATTCCTGGAACCACAATACAATTAACATGCTCAAGAGATTTAAGATTAATGCAATATTCTGATATACATTTCATTTTCACATCTCTTTAGTCTCCTTTAATCTAGAACACTTCCCCCACCACATTTTTCTTTTTTTCCTGACACTGTTTTAAGAATCTAGGCCACTTACTTGGCAGAAAAATCCTTCCATTTGGATTTTATATGATTGAATCCATTTCTGGCAATAATTTACGTAGGTGATATTATGCCCTTCTTAGGTCTTAGTGCAAGATACCAGAAAGCACATGATATTAATTTGTCCCACTGTTGGTAATTTTACGTTTGATCACTTGGCTAAGGTAGTAACTGTCATTATGTTTTTCACTGTAATTAATACAAAGAAGCATATTTCTTTGAGAATATGTGATACCTATTTTTCTACAATTATTAGTTGTCATTCTTCTGTTACAATCCATTAGTGCCATTTTTAGTCCAAGAGCGCCCTCTTCTGTTAGTGCAGTGAAATGACTGTTTTGCAGGGAGAAGGATGGCGAATACACTGTCCCTCAAAGAGCACACTCTCCTTTTAAGTCACCCCGCCTCCCCAGAAGCCATGTCTTCCAGGGCTATCATCTCTCATCCTATATATTTCAATCCCTTATTTTTGATTCTACATATAACGAGAGCCCTAACCTACCAGGTCTCAGACCTCTTCTCAGTATGTTTCCAGTCAGGGTAGGTCTTTCTCTTTCTGGGGATAATTTCATCTATAGTCTGCCACCTCCTCTGTGAGGCTGGCTCTGCTGGGTTTAGGTGTTTATATGCCGACTGCCATGTAATCTGAAGTCTGAAGCATTCTGTCTACTGGACGTGGTAGCCATGGGTAAGTTACAGGTTTTATTTGCGCTCCTTGTTTATCTGTAAAGGTTGTTTTTGTTTTGATGGATGCATAGAGAGATTTAGGTTTTGGCAGTTACCCTTATTCTACAGGAATCCAGAACTCTGCAGAAAGTCTGAATTTGGATAGACCTTCTAGAAAGAAGAAAGAAAATAAATGCAAACCTAAGCATCAGAATGTCTCTCGTGTTATCTCATCTACTATGAAGATTTAAAGGATAAGAGGGAGACACAAAGTGAGGTGGCCTTGAGGAAGTCTGAAAACTCTTGTCCCAAATAAAACGGGGTAGCTTACCTGAGTAAGGTTCCATTGCAGCTGCTGAGCTGGCTGAACCCCATACATAGTCTGGGGCATAGCTGCCATGCCTGCCATGTAGCCAGCCTGCTGGGTGGTCATCATTCCATTTGGCACACCCATCATTGATGCCTGCATACCACCCATATAGCCTGCAGGCATGGCCATGGGGGCAACCATCCCAGAAGCCCCTGGCTGAGCTACCATGCCTACTGGTGGGGGCATCATGCTCCCCATTATGCTATTAGGAGGTGCAACCCCAGGGAAGCTGGGGTAGGCTGTGGGATATGCCATCTGAGCAGGAGCCATGAACATTGCTGCCAAGAGAACATACGTACAGATTTGTTAGGAAAGCACACAAAGTCAGCCCAAAGTCTCACTGGCTGCTCCTTTCCAACTAGAATTTCTCAGGACTCAACTCAGAATGCTCTTTTACACAGCCACACAGTTAGACAGATGCCTACACGCCTTGTCATGGCTTCCCACCAGAGGGTTGCTGACCTAGCTACTTCCGCTTTATGGTCTAGATCCAGGCTTGCATCAGACTTCACAGACATGTGACACCAGAGCCCACAGAAGAATCTGCTGGTACTCTGTGGCTTCACAGAAATGTCATTCACGTGCAGGCTTGTTTGGAGTATGATATCACAGCCCCCATAGCAACTGCCCTGTCGCAACAAATAACTCCTACATTGAAGTCCTCGTGTCTCTATCTGGCATATTGCCAGGCCCCCCCAAGAACTCTACCTTGGGCAGGCATCTGAGGCGTCTGGGATCCGTACAGTGAAAGGATGGAGTCTTTAGAGAGCTGTTTCTTGCCTGTTTCTTCTGATTTGCTCCCTGGCTCGGGAAACAGGTTCAGGTTTTCAGGAACAGAGCCGGCACTCCCTGCAGTTGGCATGGAACCTACCACCTTAGGGCAAAGAGGGCAGGGGGACAATTGGAATGGTCCTCATGGGAATCTCTGTAAAGATCTCCCTCATTTCTCTGTTGCTTCTAACATTTGCATTAAGAATTGATGGCTGGCCCTGGCTGATGTGGCTCAGTGGTTAGAATGTCAGTCCACATACTGAAGGGTTGCTGGTTCGATTCCCAGTCAAGGGCATGTACCTGGGTTGCAAGTTTGATCCAGGCCGGGCCAGAGTGCATGTGGGAAGAAACCAATCAATGTGTCTCTCTCACATCAATGTTTCTCTCTCCTCCACCCCCCTCCCTTCCTTTCACTCTTAAGAAAAAAAAAATCAATGGGAAAAATATCATCGGGTGAGGATTAACAAAAACAAATAAACAAAAAAAGCCCTAGCCGGTTCAGTTCAGTGGATAGAGCATCAGTCTGTGGACTGAAGGGTCCCGGGTTGGATTCCAGTCAAGGGCACATGCCCAGGTTTTGCAGGCTCGTAATCCCCAGTGTGGGGCGTGCAGGAGGCAGCCGATCAATGATTCTCTCTCATCATTGATGTTTCTATCTCTCTCTTTCCTTTCCTCCCTGAAAGCAATAAAAATATATTTTAAAAAATAAACAACAAAAAAGAATTGATGGCTGAGGTTAGTAGTTGGCATGGAACCTACCTCCTGACATTTTTACCAAACAAATATCAGAAAACACCTAATAGTTGAGCTCTGGAACAATGCTTTGTTCTTTAGTAAAACAATGTAATTTGTTAAACATATAAGATAAATTTTAAAAATAAAAGCAACCTATAAATGATACAGCCAGAAAGAACTGAGTTTAGATGCTGGGCACATAAATTTTCTGAACTAATGTTTCCTCACCTATAAAATATCATTTTGCAGGATTGTAATGAAGATTTTAAATTATAAGTGAAATATACAAAAACACCTAGTACTGTGCCTGGTACATAGCAGATATTCCACAAATAGTAGCCATCAAATGTTCCAAGTCTTTCACACCTACAAATCCTCTGGTAATAACTCAGGCCGAGGAGTTGACCTAAAGTATCAGCTGTACAATCTGACACACCTTAGACAGAAGCCCACTCAAAGGGCCCACCCTTTTTGGGCAGGAGAGAATGGAACGAATAGTAATCTTAGGCTGTAAAAGAGACAACAGTGTATTAAGGAAAGAATCAAGAACCAAGAAAACCAAAGCCTAGTTCCACCAAGGAAGCATGACTCAGCTCCATGATTAAGTGATCAAAATCACTCTTTTCAGAATACTCTTTAAATCCTGAGGAGCCTGCAAGACTCACCTTTCTGGAAGCGGAAGAAGAGGGGGATGGAACAGAGGCCAAAAGATCTAAGTCCTTCTCTAGGGCATTGCTGGTCTTACTGCTTGTAATGGAGCAGGCCACAGGAGCATCTGGAAAGAAAGATTAAAGTAAAAAAAATGTAGCACTGCTCATTAAGCCCAGGCCCTCCTTCTATTGTAGACACAATGAAGACAGGGAAAGCCCATATACTCCATCATGGATCTGGAAATCTAGGCTTCTGGAACCATCTAGCTTGGATGGGGCATCTCAAGAGAGGCCTTGCCCCACATTCCCAAGAGCACTCAGGAGAAGCCTGCAGCCCAGCTATCAGGCAAAGGGGGCTGGCTGGCTCCTTTCTGGCTATTTGAGAGACAACCCTGTGTAGGATTCATTTTCAGAGATAAATTAAAGATACATTACAATTAGAAGCCTAAGTAGCCAATAACCTAAATCAGCAGAAATGGATTGAAATGAAGTACAGCCATCAGTACTGTGAAAGATAAAGAACAGGTTTACTTCTGAATGGGGCAGGGTTTTAAGGTTTGGAGAAAAATGAGCACAAGATAAGGGGCATCTCAGAAACAGGTTGCACCTGAAAAATGAGAGGGACGGCTCATTACAATTAGAAGCCTAAGTAGCCAATAACCTAAATCAGCAGAAATGGATTGAAATGAAGTACAGCCATCAGTACTGTGAAAGATAAAGAACAGGTTTACTTCTGAATGGGGCAGGGTTTTAAGGTTTGGAGAAAAATGAGCACAAGATAAGGGGCATCTCAGAAACAGGTTGCACCTGAAAAATGAGAGGGACGGGGCAAGGCTCACAGGTGCTGGTTTAGTGAAAACTGCTACCATGTACTGAGTGCTTAGTATGTGCCAAGCAAGGGGCTAAGAGCTTTAGAGGCATTATCTCACTTCATCCTTCCAGCAACACCTTTGACATGGACACTTATATCATCCTCATTGCATAGACAGGAAAGGAATGTTCAGAGGTTATGTGAACTACCCAGTGTCACATAACAGCAAGTGGCAGAGCTGGGACTCTGGCTCTAAGGCTGTATTCTTAACCACTCCATTGTACTGTCGCTCTGAAAACGTCACAGTAAAACTTTCTTAGCACAACTGCTCAGACACAAAACAATAGGAAGAACACGAGAGAACACTCTTAGTGACAGGGATACAGACTGAAAGACTCCCATCTCTGCCCAGCTTCCCAGGTCAGAGAGAATTTGCAAGATTATGGGAGTGGGGAAGTCTGACTCTTACCAAGGCCTAACAAATCCATGACAGGTGCTGTGGATTTCGGGGAGCTTTTCCGAGGTAGCTGTGGATCTTCTTTTTTCTGTGGCTAAGGCGAAAACATGTTATTGAAAGAAATAAGCAGGTGTTTTGAACCCTTTCCCCTCCCCACTGTAAAGCCACAGGTTTCCTTGTGGTATGGTTGATGTTATTCAAAGAGAGTAACCAAAGAAACAAAACTCAGGAAGTGTCAGGTGAAAGAATCAAGTCAGAGGTACAAGTGCATAAATCAAACCTAAAGTGAAAAGCAAAGGTGTCATCTGTGCTTGTTTGGCTTTCCAAAGAGACAGGTCTGTCTGAAACCAAGACAACCACAGATCAGGGGTCCAACAGAAGTAGCAGGTTTTGGTTCCGGGAAAAACCAAGAATAAAGGTAGGTGTCTGATGGTACAAGAGCCAAAAGCCAGCAAATCCCCCAGTGATTAGAAAACCTTTAATACCAAAAGGGAGATCAGTCTAAAGATTACCTAACTCACTCTGCCAATATCACTAATGACTGTGTTCTTTAGACAGTGCGATTCAGAATGACGATAAAACACTCCTCTTTAAGCAAACAGTAAAAAGTCCTCTCTCCTAAGATTCCAAGATCTGATATTAGATATCCACTACTACAGCCACAATATGTCCTGTGGAAAGAGAAAGGTGTCTACTTAATATGACAGAGCAAGAATACAAGAAGCGATTGCTTAAAATGGATCAGTCTGGCCTGGCTTCTGGACTGTTCTTAACTGCAACAGGAAATGAGATACAGAAGGTCTAATAAGAGGTAATATCTACTCAGAAGGTGTCATACGGCCTTGACATTCTGGCATGGAACATGCCTTTTGCTTAAATGGAACAGATGTGGTTCCTAAGCTGCCATCTAACTCCAAAGAAACTGTTACAGGGCAGATTAGGCAACAATTCGCTGGGAAAGAAGCTGAAGTGGCAGCAGGTGAGCTCATCTAAATGCAAAACCCGTTAGTCCCAGGTACAATATGCTATCAACCGCAGGCCACCCCTCCACACTTATAAACACACCTGAGGCCATCCACAGAGTGCAAATACTTTCCCACTTACCATTTTCACTTTCTCAAAAACAATAGGTTCCATTTTTTTCTCTGAAGCTGGCTCATTCCCTCTTTTCCACTTGTCATCTTTTTCTTTCTATAATGATTTAAAAACAAGACAAAGAACACAGGCCCAGTAGTGACTAGCAGTTTCGATAAATTGTCATTCCAAATGTCCAAAAAGGAAACAAAAAGTCCCTGTTGGCTCTGATACAGGAGTCTGACAAGCTTTGGAGTTTCTTGGTGTGGGGTATGACAGTCGGCCTCGTCCACATCAGCCTCAATCCTCTAAGAGGCATCCTTCAAATACCTTAAGCACCCACCCTCCCTCATCTGTCTTATGACTCTTGAAATGTGCAGGTTAGGCTATCTACAGAGGATAAGACATTTTGCCCGTCTGCTGCCCCTCGAGTCAAAAAGTTTGCCCACCCCTGGGTTAGGCTATCTACAGAGGATAAAACATTTTGCCCGTCTGCTGCTCCTTTCTGACTCAAGTTTAATTTGCTCATGCTTTGAGGGGTCCCCCCTCATCTTGGTGAAATAAGTTCATGTTCATCTAACTAATACATATCCTTTGTGATTTTATAAATTCAGTTATAATTTCTTTCCATCTTTATCTTTTTTTTTTAAATCAGGAAAAAAATGTCAAGCTTAATGGTTAGAAAAACAATAATCAAGGAAATAAGGCCAAAAAAGCGTAAAAGGATTACAAAGTATCCCAAATGAGCCGCTTGTATAAAACCAACAAGTACATCAAAAAAATATATTAGAAAGTCTCTCTCAGTTTTTGTTACTTTCAGAGGCTGTTTCATAATATTTTCACCCATGTTATTGGTCATATTTTAAAAATCATATAAACATTTAAATGTCAAACAGAACCACAAAGTAAACTCAAGAACATAGGCATTTGAAAAGAGGTATACCATACATGTGAAAATTTAAGGCTTTGCTACTGATCAAAAAGTGCAATTTAAAATGCCTTTTTTTGGCGGGGGGGACGACAAAGATCTTAATAATACCTAATGTTGGTAGAGATGAAGGAAAACTAGTACTCTAATATAGTGCTAAGAAGACAGTATAAAATAGTACAACATCTGGAAAGTATACTGGTAAAAGTATGAAAGACAAATACTGAAACCCTTTGACCTAGATAATACCATATTTTGTAATATATCTTAAGAAAATAATCCAAAATATGGAAGAGCTCATATGTACCAAGTAATTCACTCCATAATTATTTATAGTAAATAATTATGCAGAAGAAAAATGTAAATCACAACCCTTATGCCACAAAAGGAAAAAGGTAAGATAAATTGTGATCTAAGCATATCAAATAAAAAAACTGAAATAGCCTTTTGGTAAACAGGAGTTTTTTCCTTCCTAAATGGAAATATCCAGTGAGTAAAACAGGCTGTTTTCATGAGCACACTATCTTCCTACAGAAACTCTTCCCTCGTCTTCGGGATGACCTCAGATACCCTTTTCTGAGCTCATCTAATTTCACATCTTCAGGTACAACAAACAAAGGTAGGCAGACAGACCATAGTTTTCTACAAATAAAAGGCAATGTATGTGCTTTGGTTTCAAACCCTTTCTGATGCCATCCAAGCCGTAGCCATATACTGGGTTAATCTCCCCTGGAACAGTTAAGATAACTTCCAGATCCCTTTTCTGGATGACTATGAGGTAAGAGTATTACCTTGCACTTATCTGTCTGCATTGAAATTCACCTACCAATTAATGCCTTTTCACATAACCTCAAAAGATCGATTTGGAGCTCTAAATAACCTGGAAGGGCTTAGAGCCCTGTGTAAACTTAGTGATTTCACTAACTAGTGCATCCTCCATTAGAATAACTAACTAGATGGATGACAGATAGGACCTGTGCTAGAATTCGAGAATACCATACTTTCTATCTTTCTGTGGCTCAAGAAATAGTCAATTACATCTAAAGAAATTTACTGTAGAACCTTGTCAAAGGCTTTTTAAAGGTCTAAAGAGTCATATTTATTGGTTCTTTAGTTGTCAGTAATCAGGATTACAGTCTTCTTCCAGAAACCATGTCATATTTCCTCCTGTATATTATACCTGTCCTAGTTATCATACATCGTATTTCAGATTCTAACCACATGCCTAGGATGAAAAGCATACTTGGCAACTGGTAGTCTCCATCTAAAACCCTTCTTAGGAACAAGGGTCATCCCATTAGCAATCAGTCCACCGATGCACAGGAAATACATGCTGGTCAAGCTGAAGGAAACTGGTGATTTAATTACACTTAATTTTGTTGACTTCACTTATGGAAACAAAATTTATGTATGCATGCCCTAACCGGGTTGGCTCAATGGATAGAGTGTCGGCCTGCGGACTGAAGGGTCCCGGGTTCGATTCCGGTCAAGGGCATGTACCTTGGTTACGGGTGCATCCCCAGTGGGGGGTGTGCAGGAGGCAGCTGATCGATGTTTCTCTCTCATCGATGTTTCTAACTCTCTATCCCCCTCCCTTCTTCTCTGTAAAAAATCAATAAAATATAAAAAAAAATTTATGTATGCATGAAGGGTTTGTATGTGTGTATATATAAATAATATAAATTTACATGTATACACATATACATATATATGTATATGCACATTTTCTATTTGATCTCATATGCCCAACATGTCCAGCTGAAGAAATAATTTGGAACTGGGAGTCACTAGCATCCAAATGCAGATCAAGACAAAGAATTCACTGATGGTTTGCCCTGTCTGCCCTTGAGGCCAAACTTTGCTTCATGATATTTCATGGTCTTGATTCAATAACTGGCTTTTTTCTACCTCTGTATCTTTATTATTTTATCGATTTGAGAGAAAGCCAGAGGAAGGGGGGAGAAACAAAAAGGGGGGGAGAGGGGAGGAGGGGGAGAGAGAGAGTGAAAGAGAGAGAGAGTCATAGATAAACATAGATTTTTGTTGTTCCACTTATTTATGCATTGATTGGTTGATTCTTGTATGTGCTGACCGGGAATCAAACCCAAAACCTTGCTGTACTGGATCGATGCTTTAACCAACTGAGCTATTTCTTTTAAAAAATATATATATATTTTATTGATTTTTTTACAGAGAGGAAGAGAGGGGGATAGAGAGTTAGAAACATCGATGAGAGAGAAACATCGATCAGCTGCCTCCTGCACACCCCCCACTGGGGATGCACCCGTAACCAAGGTACATGCCCTTGACTGGAATCGAACCTGGGACCCTTCAGTCCACAGGCCGACGCTCTATCCACTGAGCCAAACCGGTTAGGGCTGAGCTATTTCTTAAATGATAGTTTTTGAGCATGTTAGTAACTGATCTTCAAATTCTTCCCTGGCCCGATTAATAAGCAAATTACTTATTATGAACAAAACTTGAAAGAGTTACAACCAACCTTAAGGGCACTGATGTCTAGACTTCGGTCCATGTATTTCTTCTTCTCATATTTATCTCGAATAAATCCCTCGACAGCTCTGCAAAAAGCTTATTAAGGATAAATCAAGCAAGTCTTTCCCAGGATGACTATAAAAGGTCAATCTGTATCCCATGGAACATTGTTCTCTCTCCCTCCTGCCTGGCTTCCCCATACGGCTCCTGTCTCTTCACATGTAGTTTCCCTGACCAAAACCTTGAAATGCCTCCCTCCCAGTTATTGCAGGGAATCCCATTTCCTCTGATTTTCCTTCGGAGCACTGATAGCATCAAATGGGATTAGTCTTCATATTGCCAGCAGAGGAGCCTGTGGCTGCTCTAGAAGACAGATAAAGCAGCAGTCAATTACCTATTTTAAAGCCCTTAGGTCAATAGGCCTTAAACAAAGGCAACTAGTGACCCTAAAAACTATAAACTCTTGCGCCCCGTGGCCAGATTCTGTGGCCCCAAATCTGCTTTTTAACAAGTTCTACCTGCACCAACCAAAAAGCCAACGCTAACAAGATGGTCAACAAACCATGGCTTTAGGGCGTTGGCTTTGTGAGCTGGGTGCTCTCCCATGCAGAGGGGATGGGAGAAAAAAGTTACTGATTGGTCAACAACAGTTAATTCTTTCACACAGAACATAAAAAGGCCTTAAAAAGTGAATGGTAGTTTTGCTGATTCAACACAACACAGTAAATGATTTTTACCAAACAATAGCTTCAGAGACCCAAATAGCTATTGGAGACATCACTTTACAGAAGAAGTCACAGTGAAACTGAACCACTGCAGTCTTAATTCCTGAATGAGTTTTCCCCCTGTGGCACCACCATTCTGACACAGAAAATATACATGTGCTTTTCGTAGGCCTTGGTTGCAGGAGAGAGAAAAAAACAAGATATGACTAATCCACATAGATTAGATCTGACTACACAGACAGATCATGAGATGTGAATATTATGTGACTCCCAAAACACCAAAATACCACTCAGTCTTCTAAGTTGCTCCAGAAAAGATACGGGTCTATTTGAGGTCGCCGAAAGGTCTCAGGAAGGTAGGCTTCATAAAGTCGGTTTGCCTTTCCATTCCCCATCTCTTGCATACACTGCAATCAAAGAGATGTGGAAACATGGAATGTCAGATTAGGAAAGAATTTTAAAACTTCTCACCCAATGGCAGCATTTTACATTGAAGAACCAACCTAGAGTGGTAGAACCAAGATTAAAACCTGTGTATTTTGTTTTCCAATCCATGATTCTCTCTACTTTGCTCGCAACCATTTGCCCCCACAGCTGTCTTTCCTACCTCACCCCTGAGTTCCGTTTATTGAAAGATCTGTCTGACAAGATACATTTAATTCAGTAATAATTCAAAATTCCATTTGAAAGTCCAAGACACAGCTACCAAATGTCTACTTGGCAGGCAATACTCAGTGCCTAATCTGGCAGGCAACATGCAGGCAGTAACTACACTCGAATTTATACTATTAGTTAACCCATTCAGCTTTATTACTAATAACTGTGTTTTACACTAGGCTTTTGAAATAGATTCCTTAGCACTTGTGAGGGATTAATCCCAAGATCTTTTAAAATCTTCAAATTCCCAAATACCTCTATGGCATGTAGTTTCCTTCATAAGATACAGTACAGTGCAACTGAAAAGTATAACTAAACTTCAGACTTTTAAAGAATCTATAAGCCCTTGTCGGTGTGCTCAGTGGTTATGGTGTTGGCCCGAGCACCAAAGGGTAAAAGGTTCAATTCCCAGTCAAGGGCAAGTATCTAGGTTGCAGGTTCAATCCCTGACCCTAGTTGGAGCACGTGTGGGAGGCAACCAATCGATGTGTCTCTTCCTCATCCATGTTTCTCTCTCTCTCCCTACTCCCTTCCTCCCTTCCACTCTCTCTAAAAATCAATAGAAAAAATATCCTTGGGTGAGGATTAACAAAAAACAAAACACACACACACACACACACACACACACACACACACACACACCAGTCTAAAATATTTCTAAGGCCATGTTCTGATTAAGAATAATCTCTTATTTCTACCATCTACTTTAGCAACTCGTTTTCTTTGGATCCACTCTCCCCAAGAATTTTTTTTTCTTAATTATTATAAAAAGTTTCAATGCAGGAAGAGAACAGAGAACAATGAAGCCACATTGAGGTGCAGATCTTGGGCCAGCTGGACTCACTAACTCTACTGTCTCACTTTCAGCCCACCAGCCTAACAGCAAGCATTTTAGCAATAAAATGTTATAAGTCTATGAGAGGGCTTTTTAAATTTGTTTTTAGAGAATATCTAAAACTACAAATGTTAGATCTGCAGATGTCAAGGATCTTAGAAAATAATCCAAAGATCCTCCTTTACATCTTTCTCGATCCACGGGGTCCTAGGCCATAAACCATTTGTGATTTGAAGGAGGTAAAATATGGTGGAATAATTTGTACTTTAAATAGAAAGATTAAAATTTTCACTATTAAGGTATGAGAACTGGATATAGGTGTCTGACAACTAAACTTTCCTTTATCTTTGTGCCCAGTTTGAAATTCATCCAGAACTACTTTAGCACACTCTTGGGTTGTATTAAGTACCTGAATCTGTTCTTGAGTCCACTGGTCAAGGTTAACTGATTTTACCCTGGATATGTGCACCCCCAAATTCCTGTGGATTCCAGCACATCGAATGCAGATGAACACACCAATGTTCCAGGAGGCCCATCGTGGCCCTGTGAAGGTCAGGAACAGTCAATAAGGTACAAATTAAAACAACATTCAAGGCTCAACCTGTAATATTTAGATTATCAAACATTTCAGCTAGAACACAAGTGAGAGGATTGTTACCTCAATCACCTTTTTATTGGTTTAGTTCATTCCTCCATGAATAGGCTTTCCTTTTTTTTCATTTAGCTTTAATTTTTTTAAGTGTACAATACAGTGTTTTTTAGTATACAGGTTGAGGCAAAAGTAGGTTTATAGTTCATATGAAAAATAACACAATAATTAATAAATAATAATATAAGAATAAACCCTCTGCTTTGCATAGTCACAACTGTAAACCGACTTTTGCCCCACCCACCCTATATTCACACAGTTGTCCAACCATCACCACTATCTAATTCCAGAACATTTTCACCACTCCCAAAAGAAACCTCAAACCCATAAGCAGGCATTCCTCATTTCCTCCCAATTCCTCCCCAGGCCCCAGGCCCTGGCAACCATAAATCTAATCTGTCTCTATAGACTTGCCAATTCTGGACATTTCATATAAATGGGATTATGCAATATGTGGACATTTGTGTATGGAGCAGCCTTTTACAATGTCTGATAATATGAGTACTGAAATGTAGATGTTGTAATACTGTTACTTATATAAAGAAAAATCCTAGGAGAACAGTGAAAAGTTATATCACATTCTATTTAGTATCTTACATGAACAGCCCTCCCTCAAGCAACTTTTCAATGGTGGTGGAGCCTGGATTCACTTTTCCTACTAGGAAAAAAGATACAGACATGCCATACTGGCCTAAGGTTCAACCTGAAATTTAAAACTTTGTTTATCCTCCCCTCCCTAGCAGGCCTATAAAATATGCATCCAGATTAGGTTAATAGGATCCTTTCTCCTTGGGCCGATGTCCCTACCTTACCCTATAGAATTACCTAGATTCAAGAATGTCAAGTAAAGATGCTTATTGAAATAAAAAAGAAATCTCAGATGTGTATTTTAATTAAAAATAGTTACATAATCTCCCATCCCTTGCCAACTTTGCTCACCCTAATAATCACTCTGGAAAGTTATCAAACTCCTCTTCATAATCTTTTTTTCCTCTTCATAATCTTTGTACAGGAAAAGCAACTTATTTTTATATAACACCTGACAAATACTTACTGAAAAATCACTAATATTTCATTCTCCATCATTCTACTAGGCAGAAACTTACCACATAAAATAAGCATGATATCAAAGTTAGCAGTTGCAATAGAGATGAAAAGACACAAAATTATTTTCCTCCTGAGATAAACAGGACCCTGGGTTTTGAACAACTAAGGGCACAAGACTTCAGTTCTGCTGGACACAATTATTTGGTTGGTCTGCAGTTTTTGACAGCAGTCTCAATAAAGGAAAGCTAGAATCGTATGCCAGATATTCTCAGAAATTTGAATCCACGACTATCACAAATAAGAATGTAATTTTTAAACAAAGATATCATTCAGATACTATGGCGAATACTACAAATACAGAAGGCTCAAATCCTCCTTATAACCACCAGGTGGTGGTCTCTGCCTGAAATTTTATCCCAATATCTTCTTATTACTATATCTCGATAGCCTCAGATTTATCTTCTAAAAAGACCTTCAGTCCCTTCAAATCCCTAGATAAATTTGCACAGTAGATCTGCCTTATAGCTAATAAACATATAAAGAATTCACACATTTCTTTCGGTGGCAGGGAGTTACATAAACACAAACAAAAAACCTAAACAGATATGAATGAAGTTTCATAGGGGGCTGTATGTCTATTTTAGGTTACAGTTTTCATAAAAGAACTCAGATATGGTCTAAGTTATATAGAGTTAAAAATAGGACCAAAAGTTAATATCTCATATTTCTTTACCATTTTCCCTTTGCTCTAGATTCTAGAATTCATGATAAAATAAAGTACATTTGTTTGTGAGCAAAATCAGAAGCCAAAAACATTAATTACAAGTTGCTGTGGAGCATAAGGAATATAGTCAATAATCCTATATAATAAAAGCCTAATATGATAAGTGTCCAGTCATCCATTCAATCAATCAATGTGTAATATGCTAATGATATGCTAAGGCCGCTCAACCACTCACTATGATATGCACTGACCACCAGGATGCAGACAGTCAACTGGTCGACCAGTCGCTATGACGTGCACTGACAACCATTGGGGACAGATGCTCCAACCGGTAGGTTAACTTGCTGCTGGGGTCCAGCCGATCTCGGGACTGAGCGAGATGGGCTGGACACACCCTGGAGCCCTCCTGCGGTCCCTCCCTGGCTGGCCAACCCCCTGCATCCCTCCCCTACCCTGATCGTGCACCGGTGGGGTCCCTCGGCCTGGCCTGCGCCCTCTCGCAATCCAGGACCCCTCGGGGGATGTTGGAGAGCTGGTTTCTGCCTGATCCCGCAGGTCAGGCCGAGGGACTCCACTGGTGCGTGAATTCGTGCACCGGACCTCTAGTAATCTAATAACTATGTACGATATCAGAGGTACTAGACCTATCAAAATGATCACTTCATAAGTTATATAAATGTCTAACCACTATGCTGTATACCTGAAACTAGTATAATATTGAATATCAACTGTAATTTCTAAAAAGTTTTGCCTTAGCTGGTTTGGCTCAGTGGATAGAGCACCAGCCTGCGGAATGAAGGTTCCTGGATTCGATTCCGGTCAAGGGCACATGCCCAAGGTTGCGGGCTCAATCCCCAGTGAGGGGGACGGGGTGCAGGAGGCAGCCGATCAATGATTCTCTCTCATCATTGATGTTTCTCTCTCACCCTCTCCCTTCCTCTCTGAAATCAATAAAAATACATATTTTAAAATGATTTAAGACTTAAATTAAAAAGTTAGATGTGGAATGTTATGCTGTTTGCTTCCTGGCCATAAGTCAGAAAGTGATTCTCAGTCATGTAAGCCACCATCACACTGTGGAATTTCTCCAGATCCTATTCCAGAGTATATAAAGACTCTGCCTCTGAGGAATGTAAGACTGATATGCTGGAACTACTAATAAGGCCTCAGTACAGAAATATAGGCAATAACATGTTCATGAAAAGCCAGGAGAGCCTCCTCTGCCCCCTCCCATACCACATCCCTCCTACAACCTTTTCCCAATGAAATAATGACAGTTCTATCCCACTCAGCCTCCTTTAGTTTTAAGCCACTAGATTTATTAGTCAATAGCTGTATGCTCCATAACAGATTCTGAAATTGGGTAAGAAAAATAAGAAACAAAAATGACTTCTATGGCTGAAAATAGTGTCATTATTAAAAGTATAATCTTTGCAGCAACATAAAATTTAGTTTGTATGTCAGCTCCATCGATGATTAGCTATATGACCTTCAGAGATATTTAAACTTCCTAAGTCTCGGTTTAATCATGTTCAAAATATGTACAATACCATCTACCTCACTGTGCTTAGAATGTAGAGGGATAGTGGCGAAAGAGAGTTACGTAAGTACATGGTATAGAATGAGACTTCCACAACCCATTTCCAACTCATCTTCTTCACTGACAAGGACTGGTTAACTCATTCAGATGTATATACCAACAATCTATGCAACAGTGGAGAATGCTTTTTAGACAGGCATGAGTTCCAGACTGAAAATGTCAGAATCAAAGTTGACTGACTGGATAGAAGAAAGAAGGAATTTACTCTAGATCCAATGTCAAAGTCTTCTAGAAAACATGACATTTAAGCATCTTCCTTTATCTCCCTCAAAATATTCCTTGAAAATGCACTACCTAAACCCCCACCCACTTCCCTTCTCCACTACACACTCCCACCCTGCCCTTGTGCGCACACATGCTTCCACTGCACATACCAAGGAAGGCCCAAAGCTGCTGGCCTGCCATGCCTGGGCTCCACAGCATCTGGTATTGCTGCTACAAGGCCAGACTACTTAAGTCTGGTATACTTGCAAAGATAAACCAATTGCTCAATACACATCAGTCATGGCAACCAGGAGAATATGTAAAAGATGCCATTTTGAAATTGAAAATGGAAAGGGACTCTGAGAGGCAATATTCTGAACAATTTTAAAAGCAAAGAGGATAGACAAGTGATATAAATTGGTAGCGATGAGCACAACACAAGAACAAGGTCATAGCTAAGTGAGCGTACTCAACAGGAGCCTAGGAGCAGGCTCAGGAAGCATGAGGCAATATTAAAATTAACATATAATCACTGTGCAATAAGGAATCAGTGAAAATAAAGTATATGGATGAGGTTGATGAGTCAAGAAATCGACTGTAGTAAATAGCAGCCGAAACCAGGGAAATCTGGGATGACACTGATAAATACACTAGGCTTTCATTTTGATGTCTCTCTCGGGCTATGACTCCATTTATAAAATGGAAAGTATATAAGTAATAGCCAATTTATATTCAAATGCTGAACAGCTTCTAGTGTCCAGTAACTACTGGTGCCCTGCTGCAAACACCCCCCCGCCCCTTGCTGCTAAGACTTCCCCCCAAGGACCAGCGCTACTAGGCTTAGACCGATTCTGGGCTTGAGGAGTCAGCAGAAATGAGAACTAGAGTTACAGGCAGCTTGAAGAGACTAATTACAGATCACTGGCCTCTAACCTATGGAGTTCCAAACAAATAAATGTTGAGGGGGGAATGATAAATTTTAAAATCAATGTAAAATAAAATAAAATCAAGTCAATGTCTATGCATAGACTTGCTGGCATCATGGAGCTGTTGAAAAGCTCTTCAACAGAAGAGTCAAGGATGGGAAAGAAATATCTTCCATCTTACATGCAAGCCCTGTTGAACCTACCTTGGAAATTTTCCCTGAATCTATCCCTCTTTACCTAGACCTTCTCAACTCTCATATCTAAGCATTCATTCTTTTAACATTACTTATTGAGTATCTATTACATGCCAAGCACTCTGCCTGCTAGTTATTATGGATAAAAAGGCAGAGATAATACAGATGAGATTCCTGATTCAAAGAATTCATGGACTAA